CCGCAGCAGGCGGGGAGGCAGCGCCGGGCAGCTCCCGCTTGTGCCTCCTGCCAGGCCAGCGTGTCAAAAGGGCGTCAGAGCACCTCTGCGGCGACCGGCGCCAGACCTTACTGGGACGCTCAGGGGGCCAGGAGCCCCTCTGCGGGCTCCAGAGAGGGGGAACAGGGGGCTGCACAGGCATCGGCCAGGACAGCACAACGGAAAGGATGGCGCGCAGGGGAACGAGGCGGCCGGGGACAGTGTCGCAGGGCACCCGTACAGGTACAGCACACGCCGGAGGGGGATGTCCTGTTAGTCCAGTCTCAGCATTAACCACAGCTGAAACTGCACAGCGGTGCACAGGGAAACTAGGCCTAAGTGCTCCGCGAGGTGTTTCCTTTACAGCAGGACAGCAGCAGAGATGTAGGTTAAGCCTGCCCAGCAGCTGCAAAACCTCGCGAAGGGAGCGGTTTTTCCCTAAGCGTCAAGCACGTGGAAGAGCACGTAGCTTTGGGAGCTTCACAAAGCATTTCCCTCCCCCAGCACTTGTTGCGCTTGCTCAGTCAGGTGCCGAGCTCCAGCAAGACTAATGACGTTCTTTGAAGCTGCTGCTGAAACTTCAGACAGCATTACACCTTCTCCGACAACATCATGCTCGAGGTGGAGGGCCGTGGCAGACGGTGCTGGTTACAGGTTATGCGCCTGGCGATTACGTTCATCCCAACCCTTCCACAGAGGCATAGCACAACGGGTAGAAATAAGCATTACGGCACACAAGACCTCCACCGGGCCCTACCTGGTGAGTTTCTTGTCCCTGCACACGTGGTCACAGAGCAGGAAGAGATTGCAGGGGACACAGAAATTACTTCTTTTAACGGGGTATATACAAAATTTTCCAGTTATACCTATTGTTTCTTATTCCCGTAGGCTGGTGCTGCTTAAGTTATATCGCCAGCTGCCATCCAGCTAATGCGGTAGCGGTACTGGAGAAGAGCTAACGAGACATTCTGGTGTGAGGGCACTCAAGCAGCCTGTTTGTCGTAGTGTAAGTAAATATTCTTCCACTCATTTTCTCCAAATTTCTTGCAGAGTCACCCGACAGCCAGCTGCACAGGCCGCCTCTTGCTTCTGAAGACCTGTCACATGCACATGAGCACGTCACCAAGGAGACAGGAATGGCTGTAGATGGGTGTAGTCAGACTTGCCCATTCAGCTTCAAGAGACGGTATGACACTACCCCCAGCACTGATACCCACCCTTTTCCCACCTGCTATTCCACACCTTTAACTATCAGATCCACTCAGATTACAAAGGCAGCAATCTTTATTTTCGGAGACATTTGTTTGCTCACACTTGAAAATACCCCCAAAACATAAAAGCTTTTAAAAAGTTTAGGAGTTCCAAATATAAGTTCCTGATAAACAGAAGAAAGAGGGCAAATGACAAGTCACAAGCAAGATGATGTTCAAATCCCCAGGCAGAAAATACTCTCTTCCCACCCTCCTTTGGCATCTAACCTTTAATTCCTTGTAAAAAGCGTGGTCTCCCGGGCCCCTCAGCACTGTAGCCTAGAATCCAGGCACCAGAGTGACTGTGCAAGCCAGAGGGGAAGTCCTGAAAAATGCTCATCGGGACAAGCTGCAGCTCATGTAGATGGGGGTGGCTCGCTAAGTCTCACCTAACCCTCAATTAGGTGACACTACTTTGCACACAAACGGAGCTTCCCGTAACAATGGGACTCTTCTCATTGTCACCCTTTGGGAAGGGAATGGAAACATGGAAATCAGGCCCTGCATAACCTCTCTCGGTGGCTGGCAGTTTCATGAGACAGGGTGAGCAGTTCTCACAGCCCCCTACCCCGTTCCCAAACATGCACTACCGCTGTTCAATTCATACTGGCTATGAGCTCAGCAGACTGCTCCACAAACTAAAATTAACTTAACCTTCCTAACAGGGTAAAAAAGTAGTTGGGGGAACCATTTTCTACCAGATGTGAGTTGCACCAGAAATAAGGAGGCAGTCACACAACTGGAGGGAAAGCAAGTCCTCCTTTCAACAGCACTAAGCCATTATATTCTCTCAGTTGCTCATGAAAACTCAGTTTAGGCTGCAAATTACTGAACTTGTTTGAGGCTCCCCATACCAAACTTGTAGCTAACACATCAAACCTTACAGCACTAGGCTTTACTTGCCTTAGTGCTATGGGGAAACTGGCATTTTACTTCTTGAGATGGATTTAACAGATGGAAAACAGCTCCGAGAGCAAGTGATCCAACCCAGAAAAGACATTTAAGGCATCAATGATACATTCATCTCGACTCCTAACAAGCTGCATGGCACATTGCTGGGAGGAAGCGTAAGGTGGCACGTTTTATGTTCAGAGAGAACGAGGAGTAATGCCACACTGCAGTCAGAGCCTCTGAAACAAAAACACAGCAAAAAGCAGAGCTGGGTAGAAAAGAGGGCTTCATCTCCTCTGCCTCCTTACCCATTCCCACTGAGCCAAACGTCACAGCCTCCATGCAGTTAAGGGCTTCTGCACATCTCCACTCCCCAGCTAGATTCCCAACGAGAGTGTTATCAAGAGTGCCACAGTAGTACTACAGACCTTGGCCTTTCTGACAACAGCCCCCAACTTGCAACTGCAAAAAAATACAGCTACTCAACTACTAAGCTGTACTTAGACTCCGCTTCTCCAAGTACTCTGGTTAGTGGCCTCAACAGGAGTGGAAGGAAGAGGAAGGTAGGAGTTTATTGCAAGGTGAAACCATAAAAGAAGGAAACAGGAAAGAGGAACCCTGTCACACTACAACTGTGAACTTGAAATGTTAGGTGGGAGTGGGGATTACAGCCAGAGGGTTCAAATCAGTTGTTGCTCTTATATGTAACTTGCCTTTGGCTAGTTACAATACTTGTCATTTCACAGGTATCCGAGTTAACCTCCTACTTCTTTTTCAGCCAGTTTAAGATACAGGAGAATGACTTCTCCTTCTAATAGATGGGCAGGAAACCAAAATGGAAAAAAAAAAAAAAAAATCACTGCCAGCCTTTTAAAATAAGACTGTAAAAATTTAAGTCTTGGAGGTCACCCTAGTGGTGCCAATAACACCAGCTCAAGGACGGTTCCAAATTAGGGACCTAAACCAGAATTAGAAATAAAAGGGGGAAACACCCAACCATTTTCCCACATCCCCACGCTGGAGCTGCCTGCCCTAGGGGAGGTAGCATTCCAGACATCCATAATGTCCACATGACCATCCAAGCTGTTCTGGTGAGCAGATGGTTTATGAATTCCCAAGGAAACATTCTCAGTCACTTTCAAACTTGACGGAATTGACTTGGGTCGATATAGTGCCCCCACGGTAGCTGCCTCGTTTTTTCTTTGTCTTCTCATGGCGGAAAGATTTGCCTTTAGTGAATTTCAGGATATTGTTAGCCTTCTCACCCCAGTCACCAGCTGCTCCTTTCTGTGAGGGACGAAGGGAGAGAGGAAAAAGAAATTCAGGGAAGTACCCAAGAGAGTAAAGGCAATGCTTTGCACTTCATCCTACCCAGCAAACACCAGTTCATTAACACTGGAGCTGATACCACTCTCCCACGCACCTCCTGCCAGTGCTCACATGCTTCCTAACAGCACCTCCTGGTGGAAAAAATTCCAACCAAAAAGACTGCCCACATGCACACCAAGGCCGCTCTGCCGACATGTATTTGCAGAGGCCAAGTGTTACCACGCTGGGCACTACCTAGCCCTACCTTTGCTTCAAATGAGTTGTCAGCAACACGGGCATCCAGCTCAATCTCTTCTTCCCTTACGCGGCGGAATGGAGAGGCTGGCTGTTAAAGAGGAAGAAAATAAGATACAGTAAGTGCATACATGCGCATGATATTCCCTTAGTGAAAACGTCCTTCCCTCCTTGCCCTGCAAATATGGAGCCCTGTTCAGGTCACCTCAATCTAAGTGTTTCTCAGATTCCTAATTCTTTCCCTTCTTCAGATCAGGCAACTCAGGGATGCTCCCATGCAAGCATATCCAATCAACCTTTGACAGAATAATATTATGCACATATATGCACTCCCTAAAGTTCGCCAGACAAGATTCAAGTGCTTGAGAAGGGAGCAAAAATACAAATAATCCTGTGAGCCCAACCTCCCCCCAAACCCCAAAACAAGCCTACTTGTTCAGGAGGCAAAGATGCCTCTCCCACCAGTCACCACAGTCCACCCTCACTCACCCGTTTCACCTTGGGAACTGTGTGTGGTGTTTTGGCTTTGATCTTTGCCTTTTCACCTTGTGGCGTCTCTGGCTCCTGAACATCTTCCCTCTTCTGTTTCTTCCTGATCGTGCCTGTTAGATGTACAGCAGTAAAACTTCCAAGGGAGTAACTGCAGTGTTGGGAAAGGTAATGGCATCTCTCCCCAGAATGCAAACCCAGTGTTGACAGAGGTGTGAGAATCAGTCCCTGCATTACCTCACCCAGAAAACAGACCGCTACAACAGACACTAATAGCCATTCTGGGTCAGCAAGGGTTGTGCCATCCTATCCTAACGGATAAAGATAATTTTGTGGAATAGGGTACCTCTATATTAATGATTTAGTGCACTTGAGAAAGTTCTGTTTAAAATTTGCCAGTTCTTGGAGTCACACAGTATGCACTTGCACACATCACTACTGCATTTGAAGTTGTTTTCCTCCTGGAGGGATAAAGATTGAGACTGTGCTTTGGGGCATCGCCTATGATGTCCCACTCAACACAGACAAGGTCCTCCAGCAGTCTGCCTTGCTTGTCACTAACAACCTTCAGCATGCAGAGATGGCAACTGGCAACAACCGTACAGAAATGTACTTCATGTTACCACACACTCCATTGCCAGCAGATAGGCAGTACAGACAGAAAGGATCACACCAAATTAAAAACTAGCCCTTCCCTCTCAGTACTGCACCCGATGGCATAATCTAATAGCACATAGAGATTAGACTGAATATTGTTTAGGAAAGGCTCCCGTTCACGCTTAGCTCAGTACCATTGCCTGACAGACCCACTTCCCAGACTGTAGGTAGTACCTCCATTGACTTTGCCAGTCTCTTCTTCAGAGCTGCTTTCACTGCTGCTACTGCTGCCACCAGCTGCCTTAGACTTCAGGTTGTTTGCCACTGGTGTGGATGCTTTTGCTTTCTCTGTGGAGGCAGTGGTCTTAGAATTCTTCTGTGCCCCTTTCCCTGCCTTTTTGGGCTTCTCTTCCTCTTCGCTGGAACTATCAGATGAGCTGCTACCACTACTGGAAGCAGCTGCCTTCTTCCCCACAGTTGCTTTTGCTGCCCCTGTAGATTTGGTGGCTGGTTTCACTGCTGGCTTCTTTTCTTCTTCTTCACTGCTCGAGCTATCAGAGTCAGAAGTGCCTGCTTTGGGAGCTGGGGCAGAAGGTTTGGACACTGGCTTACCCACTTTGCCAGCTAATTTAGCTGGAGTGCCTTTCTTCTTCTTCTTCTCATCCTTAGAGCTGCTGGAGCTGCTATCTGAATCAGAGCTACTTTGTGCTTTCTTTGTGGCAGCTTGTGACTTCTTTGTTGCAGGCGTTGCTGCTTTAGTTGCGGGCTTCACAGGGGCCTTCTTGTCAGAGCTATCAGAATCTAGAATGGAAAGGAAAAGAATAATGAAGGCTAAGAGGCATTCCTTCAACATGAAGCTAACATACAGATTCACGTATGTGCACTTCGTTAGCTACTTGAAACAACACTGCAATGAGTATTCCTGTCCAAGTGCACCCTCGTACCCTGCCGAGAAGCACAGAGGTCTGAGCAAGCACAACACGCATGTGGAAATTCTCCTTTTCTCCTACCCCAATACCTGAGCTATCTGAGGAGGAACTGGAGTCTTTCTTTGCTTGTCCAGGCTTGACAGCTACTTTTGTTGGTTTGGAAGTATTCTTTATCACAGGTTGTTTAGCTGGGAGCTTACTCCCTACCTTCTTCTTGTCATCTTCAGAGCTAGAATCTAAAAAAAAAAAAAAAAAAAAAAAAAAGATGTTCTTTAAGTTAATAAGCTTCTAGTGCTTAGAAGAAAGAACAAACTCAGGGAGAAGAAACATCGAGAAAAGAAGCTATGTGGTAAGGATCAAAGAACAGGCAAGGAATTAGGAGATAAAATTGTGAAGGTGAGGCAGCAACAGCACAGTATCTCATTTTAGCTTTCTATTTCCTGTATCAGATATGTTTAGCAGCAGTCTGAGGATGGACTGGAGACTCCTGCATACAAATATGCTTTTGTATTGTGTGTCACAGCAACATGGAATGCTAAGCCTGATCTATTCCAACATTTCTGAACACTTTAATAACGGTAATCAAAACCTCGTCCACTTGTGAGAAACTAGGCAACAAAACCAGAAAACACAGAACCCCTGCCACTTCTTGAAAGGTCACACAGTCTAGTGCTAGCTGTCTGCAGACAGACAGGCAGCTGCCACCCACAGTCCCTGCCGTGGCACCAGAGATGTTGAGATATACAACAGGAGCACCTTGAACTTGGAGGGGAAATGTAGCACACAGGGAACTTATATGGGAAATACAGCATCGCAAACCTTAAACCTGATCAACAGAAGATACAAAGCACACTGCTCCCATTTCTAAGGTCACATTAGGAAAATGCATCTTTTGAGTCTATTTTGAACTTGGTATGGCAACAACATTTTTTATTTCAGAAACTCCTCCCAAACACAGTGGGATAACAGAAACCAAAAATCTTAAGACACAGATCCCCAAAAAGTGTAACCATTAACCTTCCTGGAGAAACCTGATACACATGATACCCCAGCCTTTCCATCCAGCAACATGCAGACCTTTCTGCACTTGCCAACGGTCTCACTGGTGTCTCATGGTCAGACTCCACTATGCATAGCAGGCTGCTGTTTTTCAATTTCACATCTTATTAGCCATGGAGACTGTGAAGCTTTCGAGCTCTTACGCTAGGGATCTTAGCGGATATGCCACTATACAGCAAGCTGGCCAATAAAAACATTAACACAAAAAAATCGAAACTTTATTTCTTGAATTACCTGAGTCACTGTCAGAACTGGATTCAGCCTTCTTGGTAGTCACAGCTTTGTTTGCGGGGCCAGGGGTTGTTTTAGCTACTACTGCTTTGCCTGCAAAAGCAAGTTTAAAATTAACAAGTCACATCCACACCAAACCTTTGTCCCAAGATCCAAACCTTTCCAGATGTGAAAAAGCTCCCTTCTCAGTGCACCAGCCATTCAGCTAGCACATGGAAGCCAAGCAAGCATCTGGCCAGCTGCAGTAATGGGCCTGGCTTACTCCTGATAAACTAGATCCTGATGACTTTTCAAACGAACACGCATAAAGTAATCCAAGATCCACAGACTGTACACGGTGTTGTTTGTGGTGCTTTCAAATTACTCAGAAGCTTCCAGAGAAGGAAACAGCAACATAGACCAAAGTCAAATGGCTTTTTCAAGGAAACCAAGACATTGCCAAAACATTGTCCGCACCATGTAGTACTTCCTCTGCAGCTTCCTCTCCTCACAACGTACCTGCTCCTCCCTTTCGGGGCACCTGCTCTGCCTCATCACTACTGTCTGAAGAGTCACTGCTCTCAGCCTTTTTTGCAGGAGTCTTGGCAAGGCCCTTCTTCATCTGCGTAGCTTGAGGAGGTGGTACAGCACTGTACTGACCTATGAAGAGAGACAGCATTCAGATGCCTGCATGACAATGCGAGCAGCACATGAGATGTTTGCTGTAGTTAGAATAAAGCACTTCTGCTATTTGGTTCCATTTATTCCCCTTCTGTAGCTACAACCAAGGATACTAGTTTATAATCTGAAAGGTTACGCCTACCCAACTGCTACCTCCTGTTTCTACTGTGAGTTTAGCTCTCCTTTTGGGGTTCAGCTGACCCAACCATCTCTGCAGAAGTTTTCTCTGCACTTTTAGAAGAATGGGAGCTTGTGTTGCGAAACTTCTTCAGAAAAAAAAAACAAATAAAGATGCCAATGTTGATTGTTTTCATTTACTGCCTTCTCAAATCCTCTGGTTAGAGAATCAGACTGCATTTCGATGCTTGATCCTCCACTCAGGTCAGCTCTCTACTGGAATCCTAAAAGCACTACACTATATTGAACAGAGGCCCATTTAGCCCATCAGCTGGATTGCAATTGAACAACCCTGGATACATCACAAAAAAACCCTAAAAAAGTTAAATTGCTGCAGTTACAGAATAACCAAACCACTGGCAAATTACTTCCCAAATCCTGGCAGACGGGAAACCTGCAAGAAGAAAGTATTTAAAGGCTATCTGAACAGAAGACATGCAGCAAACCAAGCAGAGTCTGTCACAATCTCTCTCACTCCCCATCCTTTGCTGAGGGAGGAGCTAAATTGTAAGCTTTAGTCCCAACAGCACACATGAAAAGAGCTGTTGTATTTCTGGTTCACAGTACCACCACCGGCACCACCTGGAACCTTGTGTGCAGCAAGACTTGCCTGTGCCCAGCACACGCTTCTCCCGGGACAGCGGGACTAGCAGAAAGCATCCTCCCATGTAGTAGCAATGGTATTTAGTACTTACCAGACTTTGGCTTTTGTTTTGCAGGTGGCTTTTCATCATCTGAGCTGTCAGATGAGTCCTCGCTACTGGAACTTTCCTTGGCACGTTTGTTTTTCCCTGGACATGCTTGAGTGGCTGCAGGTTTCGGCAGAGGTGATTTCTTGGCAACAGCCTTATCACAAGAAGGAAAGAAAAACACGTTAAAAAAAGAAGTTACAGAAATCTTGTGGGGACATCTGGATGTGGATCTTGTTTAACCCTATGCCTCACTTAAGAGGGCAAATTTTGAAGACAAAGGGAGAAAGATTAATGAAGATTCTCAAATGCAAATTTTAGGAAACACATGAGCATCACTACCTTTCTGACCACTCTGCTGCTGTTTTCTGCTGCATGAATCCCTAATGAGGAGCTCCTCTGACTAAGGGGCACAGAAGTGACTGAAATGGTAGCAACTGCCACTTGATTAAACACAGCTATGATTACTTGTGTTGCAGAAAATATTTTTAAACACTCCCTAGTGGAAAACTCAAAGTACAGATAGCTATGCACAAGAGAGTCATGCAAAAGTGAACATATAATGGAGATTACAATATGGTTATGACACAATGAGATGTTTTCCTGTAAAAGGAAGGAGCAGAGGAAACAGTAAGGAAGTATTACAGAAGAAAGCCAGTGCCTGGAGAGGTGCTAGAACACATTATCCCACTGTATAAAGGAGAAGGAAATATAAGAGCCCCAGATGCTGCGCTCAGCATCTGTGTAGTCTGTGCCTTTGTCTACACATTTCACAGTCCCTGCAAGATAGAGATACACCCAGTCTTACTAGACTTCTACAGGGTTCATGAAGTTTTTCATGGTCTAATTTACCTTCTTCGGTGCAGCCTTTTCCTCATCAGAATCTTCACTGCTGCTGCTACTGCTTGCTGCTTTTCCATTGACCACCTTGGTGGCCACCTGGGCAGCTTTACCTCCTTTTGAGATAAGCAAAAAGGGACATTAGAACATATGCTATGGTAGATGAGGGGTAATTACATTCAGCATAAAGGATCCTAGAGAGAAAAGAACCGCAGGAAGCCAACAGGGCAGATTAAGGCAATACTGCAAAACTGTTGTTTTATCCTACTGCAAGCTTAGAGTAAGTTTTCAGAAAACTGTCCATTCTAGCTCACTGGAAGTTCCAGGACTAAAGGCTAAGTAAAGATCTTCCCTGCTCTTTGAGAGGAAGACACTGGCAAAAGCACAACTGTCCTGGTTTTGGCTGGGATAGAGTTAATTTCCTTCTTAGTTGCTGGTATAGTGCTGTGTTTTGGATTTAGTATGAGAATAATATTGATAACGCACTGATGTTTTAGTTGTTGCTAAGTAATGCTTACACTAGTCAAAGATTTGTCAGCTTCCCATGCTCTGCCAGGTGCAAAAGAAGCTGAGAAGGGGCACAGCCAGGACAGCTGACCCAGACTGGCCAAAGGGCTATTCCATACCATACGATGTCATGCTCAGTATATAAACTGGGGGAAATTGGCCAGGAGGGGGAGACTGCTGCTCGGGGATGGGCTGGGCATCAGTAGGCAGGTGGTGAGCAACTGCATCATGCATCACTTGCTTTGTATATTATTATTATTACTACAGTTTACTTTATTTCAATTATTAAACTGGTCTGACCTCAACCCATGAGTTTTCTCACTTTTACTCTTCCCATTCTCTCCCCCATCCCACCGGGGAGCAGGGAGTGAGCAAGCGGCTGTGTGGTGTTTAGTTGCTGGCTGGGGTTAAACCACGACAACAACTTAAGCAGTTAAGGTTGCTGATTACTGCTCCTTATGCAAACAATGCAGCATTTTGGACCAGATGTTTTATTTGCCATCAGTTCTACACCTCTTCCATGTCACACTGGACTGGAGGGCAAATGGCAGTGACAGCAGATTCTCAGACTCCTATGTTAACACGTGTGCCTTTGCATGTAGGTACAGCCCCCATCACTCCTCCCCTGGCTTTTTTGGTTTTGCACTTTGACTCATGATACACAATAAGAGGTACCTGATTTAGGCGTTGCAGGTTTTGGTGGCTGTTTCTTTGGTGGTTCTTCATCTGAGCTGCTCGAGTCAGAGCTGGAACTCTCTGCTTTCTTCTGAGGCTGGATTTTGGCTCCAGCTGGCTTCACCACAGGTTTTGCACCTTTCTAAACAACAGGAGGGAAAACTGATTAGCCCTTGTAGCCATGGAAAGAAAAAGAGGCTAATAAGTGTGACACATGTACAGAAACTATAAACAGCTGTCTTTCACAGAAGTTACCATTTTGACTTGGAAACACCACTCTGCCTAATGGTTAGGGCCTGAAAAATCCCTGGATAACTATTTTGCTCTGGGAAACCTCCCAGCAGCCCATGGGAGACTTCCTTTACACCTCAGTCTCCAGGTTCTGCCTCCTCAAAATGGGGCAGCTCTGGGGCTCCTTCTCCAGACCACACTGGTTTGAAGACTCAAAATACTGACTGGGCAACTCTGGCTGGTCTCCTCTAGTGTACACTGACGTCATTCTTCCTCCCTCCCCACTTCTCAAGACCATGACTGCAGCAAGAAAAAGGAAAGAGAAGATGATCTTTTTATATATACACATATATGTAGGAACAGATCAAATTTATTTTAGCGACTGTAAATAAATCTTTCTCTGCAAAAAAAGTAAGCCCTGGCAGTCTTAGGGTAAGAGCAAGGAGCAAACTTGGATATGAAACACAGTGGGTGCTGGACATGAAATTAATTTTTCACGGGACTAGTCCAAATGGCACACCGTCCACTACAGAAATGTCTTCTTACATTGCACCTGCAGCAGTCTAGGCACTGCATAGTTCAGGAAAAGCGAGCCCAATTTCAGAGAGAATTCTGCTGGTCAAATCTGCTATTATCCACCACTGTCAAACATGCATTAAAGAGGCTGGAAAGAAAAGCTGACCTTTGCTGGCTTCTCCTCCTCCGAGTCTGAATCGTCACTGGAGTCCTCACTGCTGCTCTCTGCCTTCTTGGCTGGAGGAACTGCTTTTGCCTTGGGCACAGCTGCTGCTTTAGCTGCAAATAAGGGACAGCACACATCGATGATAAGTTAATTCACAACTTTCATGTACCTATATCCTGCACTATTGTTTATCAGGGCAAAAGGATATACTAAGGTCATTAAACCATGACTGAAGTTCGTAACACTGACTTTGTTTCTTGAGCAGGGTGCGGCAGAAGACTCCAAAATGGGTAGGTAAGAGGATAAAACCAATTCTAGATTTAATCTTTGTCACATACACATTTAAGCGCAGACTTCTATCACCAAAAATGACACCCCACAAGGAAAGTGTCCCCACAAACTGAGATAACATTAACTGTGTCTGCACACCTTCCAGCTTACGAAAACGCGCTGTGAACAAGCGCAGACTTCCAAAGAGAACCACTGCAATGCTGCGTTAAGGTTCCAGACACTTTGCTTAACGTGTTTTAGCCAAATGTACTCCTTCCTGGTTACCGATTGCTTTTTAATAACGCGAAGCAAAAGAAATAATTTTGCCTCGAGTTGTATTTGCAATTGTCCTTATCAAATAAAAATCAGATCTAAGTTCAAATTCAGCTTTAGGATGGCTCAAGTTGAATATCAGTTTTCTTTCTGTGTCTCTCCCTCTCCCTGTCTACTCCTTCTCTCCCACAAACCTACTGCTAGATACACACAACCTTGCATACACTGTGATTAAGGCAAGGAGTAAGAACAATTCCAGATAAAAAGGGAAGAATACAGCTCACCACATACCAAAGTGCAGTGGAGGGACATATATTTTGATAGCACTAGGACAGAGGCTTGAGAGAAAGGAGGGTAATAACCTGACACAAGCAGCAGGTGAGTAAGGATGCTTGGCACTTCTCTGGAACTCAAGGGTATCGTGTACAACTGCCCTGCATCAAACAGGTCACGGTGCCCACGATACAGAGGAGCCTGATAAATCCTAGCCATGCCAGAGTTTTGTCAAATTATGTGTATTTTAACAAATGTGAAAGCACTTATAAAACCTAAATCGGTTTTCCTACAATAGCAAGATAAGAAACCATTCTTTAAAGCTCTCGGTGAAACCAAGAGTCCCTGGAAAATAGCACAGAAAAAAAATCATGAGGTAGCTACTTCCCATGAAGAGAGTAGCAGCCCAATCTACATGCACTCAAAAACCAATTTCATTCAATATTTAGATCAACACATAATTTGAAAGTACCGAAGCAAGGAGGAGTAACCCTGCCGCGATATGCTATCAGTGAGTGTTTGGAAAGCAGAATCTCAATATAAACAAGGTAATGAAGGCACTACTTCAATAGCACGTTCAAAACTCAATACAGCCCAATGCCTTTATCAGTCGCAGGCAAAAGAGAGTGGCTAAGACCTTCTAGCGGACACAAACCCTCATATACTTAAATTATAACTGGATAAAGAGATCACCCTTAGCTGGGATGAACATACCTTACATGTCATGGGCAAAAGACCTACCAGAATCAAGATCAGTCAATACAAACCCACTCCTTGATAGCCACTGAAGGACCTCAAATGAGCCGCTGAAGCCGAGATCCGTATCCAGGTGAGGAGCCAATGTCAAACACAGCCCTGGCCTGGCCTAGGGCCGCTCACAAACCCCACCTGGTTTCTTGGCTGGCGGCCTCCGGTCCTCCTCGCTGGAGCTGTCGTCGCTGCTGGCGGATGGCTTCCTCTTCGCCTGGGGGCCGTTGGGAACGAGCTTTCTCTTCTTGGCCGCGGGAGACCTAAAGGGAGAAAGGCTGAGCTGGGGGCTACGAGGCGAGGGCCGGCCGGTGGCTGCTGCCGGAGGGAGCGCGGCAGCGCGCCCCCCTCCCCCCC